AGTAAAATTTTGAAATTTTAATAATTTTAACTAATTTTAAATGAGTCCTTATTTAAAACAACCGAATGAAGAACGTATATGGTATATGATGGAAATGAGATACTAGATAACCAATTTCATTAGGGTGGGTGGGTCGGTGGGTGGGTGTGTGGGTGTGTGTGACGCTTAGAACTTACTACTAGTTACCTTACTTCTCACGTGTTTTGTGCATTTAACCATAGTGGGGACCTTATCGAGGAAAACGACATCGTTGTGTCAATAAAATTACACCTACCACATATTTATGTGATGATTGTGAAATGTGAAAGAGAATTTGTGGCATTCAACATTCAGGTTGGACAATTATCTACCCAGTATCTGTTATTATCTGACAGCTGGATTGATTCTCGCCGCTCTTATATCAAGTCTCTTTCCTTCACCTATATATGCAACAAAATCCATTATCAATTTACTACATACATACATACATATATATAATTAATAATATGTACAACTATCCTAACCTTTTAGACTTTTTATTATAAACTCCCTGACATTATTTCTTAGTTATTTTAATAACAAAAGTTATTATGTCATTTATAAGTGTATATTTTATTATTAAATAGGCATAAAATTTTGATTTAAATTTGATTATATTTTTTAATATTTCACATCTATTACTTAATTATAAGATAAAAATAAATTTTGATATAAAATATATTTATATATCTCTTCTTTATGTTTTCAAGAAAATAATAGATGAAACAAAAGAGAAAAATGCAATAAAAAATAAAAGAAAAGATTATATATATCTATATGTGGATGGAAGTAGAGCCGGAAAAACAGGCCAAGCTCATCGGACCTATCCGTTTAAGCTCATATAATAAGAGGGCTGGGCTTGCAATTAGGATCTCAAAATAATAAATGGTCTTAAACGGGCTGGCCCGTTTAGACTCTAATTTAAACAGATTGGCCCTAACGAGCCAAGGACTAACCCATTTTAGCTTGCATATATATATATATATATATTTATTTATTTTTTTTATTTTCATGCCTTCTTTGTGGACCTCATCTTAGACTTGGACCGTCTTCAAAGCTAGAGCAGTGGAGCCCATATGGCCAAATCTACTAAGGGAAAGGGGAAAAAAAAGCCAAGTAGCCAACCCTAATAGCAATAATTCATTAATTTGGTAATTCCCTTCCCTTGAATCCCTGATCACCTCACAGTTCAGAGTCACGCTCAGTCGCTCATGCCGTCTTTGCCTCTGCGTCCCACGACAGTACAACTCATGCGATTACTTTTAGAGTCTTCACTCTTCATTCATCCTTCAAATTAGTGCTTGTCAACCTTTCAATTGCTCATTGGCCATTGCTCACAAGTCACGTTTTAGCTCACCAATGTCGACTGCCTCACTCCACTCCAGTCTCCAGATCCATTGTCAACGACAGTCGACAGGGCGACGCTAGCTACTAATCGCTCTCGCAAGTGTATGAGATCAAAGTAATAAATTACCTGGAGTATTCTAGGTGTTGAACCCACAAGGAAGTTATACTTTTATTAATTTAAATAATTAATAGTTCAAGAAAAATAGATAGAATGGATAATTTTGATGAAAATAAAGAATAAAAATAAATCAAAAAAATAATGATGATGAAAACACAATCACTTAAAGAGTTAGGATTTAAGATTCACCCTATAGGGTATTAGTTTCTACCCTTTGCGTTGACTATGATCAATTATAGTGACAACTATTCCTAAAATATCCTGATATTCTCCCAAATTATTAGTCCCTTTCTAATTAGCATTGAATTCGTTCCTACAATACTCAAGCAACTAATTAAATTGTGATATTATAGTTTAAGTTACCACAAATTTCTAGAACTATCCCTAGCCTAGTTATTTATGTTTATTTCTCTAGATCTAGGTTCTCTCTTCACCTCCCAGTCCATCAAAATTACCCATAGATTTGATTAAATGGTGGCTTAATCATTAAATCAATATGAAGAACAAGAGAAACAAATATAATTGGAAAAGGAAAAAAATATTCATAAATACAAATGCAAAGAGTCAAAACAAAGAAAATAGAAAACTAGCTCCCCAATTGGGCTACATTCCTACCCCAACTAGATAATTCATAAACACATAATAAAATAAAATAAAATCATTCTAAAATCTCCAATCATGAAAAATCATCACAGAGAAAATTAAAGAGTAGAAAAGAAATAATTATGAATTGTAGAACTCCTCAATAATCTCGCTTTTAGCCTTCAAAATGCTTCTATGAGCTCCAAATATTTCAGAAAGAATTCTTGAGGTACTTAGATAAGTGATTGGATGACTCCTCTCTTGATGGAGGGAGTATTTATAGTTAAAGTGGAGGCTCCTCTTTTTATTCTTTATTGATGTGGGACTGTAATATATATATATATATATATTATTTTATCTTTTGCATGCTGTACGTCACCTTCCTAGAATGTTTAGCCTCAATGCATATATTTGCATATGCTTGTGGTAATTTCTTTCTGCGTTCCCTCCCCTTATATATATATATATATATATATTTCTTTTTTCTTTCTTTTCTTCTATCAAGTTTATTTTTTTTTTCTGTAAAATATAAAGATAAAAAAATATGAGTAAATTTTGTATTAAAATTTCTTTTTATCTTATAATTAAGTAATGAGGGAAAAATATATAAATATCAATTAAATAGATGTTAAATCTTAATAAATATAATTAAATCCAAACCAAAATCTATACCTATTTAATTATAAAATATGCACTTATCAGCTGCATCAATCTCTCCTTATCGACGCTCAATCCGAAGGCTGCTGCTCACCCTTTAGTCACCACCTTCACTCTACTCTACCGGTACTATTTGAAGCCATCGAGTTTGCTATTGCGAGTCTCCAAATTTCATTCATCGAAGCCTTCATTCATCTCCTTAATGACAGTTGGTCACAGGTTTGAGCTTTTCTCCTTTTACCATTTTGATTTTTGCTTGGGTGTTTTGTTTTGCCTTGCAATTTGTTCTTTCCACTTTGATGCATTGATAAGAAGACGTCATTATAATGTCTACTTGTAATTTGACTATTTGAACTTATTGCTACTTGCTTTTGCTTATTATGTTGTGTTTAGTTTGTTTGTTTATTGTTTATTGTTGTTTAGTCTAATCTAGTTTGATATTGGAGAAAGATTTTATGTTGAAGTGAAAATGAATGAGGTATTTTCAATTTGAAAAAACAAAACAAAAAAAAAAGTACAAGGGCTTAAAGCCTGTAGGGCCGACCCTAAGCCCGTTATGCTTAGGGCCGGGCTTAATATATGAACCCTTTAAAAGGAACTCGAACTTAAACGGGCTGGCCCTTTTAAACTCGAGCTTAAATGGGCTGGCCCTTTTAAACTCGAGCCCATCAAGGGCCGGCCCTTTAGGGTTGAGCTAGCCCATTTTTCCCGCTTTAGATGGAAGGGGCAGCCCGCACCACATGATTAGACATATCAATTCACCAAGGAAATAGCGCGTGAAGATCGGGTGCAGTGATAATATATATATATATATATATCTCAAAGTCCCATATCAATTAAGAATGAAAGAATGAGCCTTTACTTTAACTATAAATACCCTCTTCATTAAAAGAAAAGGCATCCAATCACTTATCTGAATACTTCAAGAATTTTTTCAGAGATATTTAAAGCTCGTGAAAGTATTTTGAAGGATGAAAGTGAGATCTTAAAGAGTTCTATAAATCATAATTATTTCTTTTATACTCTTTAATTTTTTTTTATGTGATTGTTCTTCATGATTGGAGATTTTAGAATGATGTTATTTGATTTTATTATGTGTTTTTAAATTATCCAGTTGGGGTAGGAATATAGCCGAACTGGGAACTAGTTTTCTATTTTCTTTATTTTGACTCTTTGCATTTATATTTATGAATATTTTTGCTTTTTTCAATTATATTTATTTCTTTTATTTTTCATATTGATTTTATGACTGGCCACTATTTAATCAAATCTATGGGTAATCTTGATGGACTAGTAGGTGAAGAGAGAACCTATATCTAGAAAAATAAACATAAATAACTAAGTTAGGAATAGTTTTAGAAATTTGTGGTGACTTAAACTATAATTTCATGGTTTAATTAGTTGTTTGTGTCTCATGAGAATGAATTCAAAGCTAATTAAAAAGGGACTAATAATTCAAGTGAATATTAAGACATTTTAGGAATAGTTGTTACTATAATTAATTAAACTCAAAGGATATAAACTAGTAACCTATAAGGTGAATGCTAAACTCCAACGTTTCAAGTGATTGTGTTTTCATCATCATTATTTTCTTAATTTATTTTTTTTCATCGAATTATCTATTTTATCTATTTTTTGAACTATTAATTATTTAAATTAGTAAAAGCGTAATTTCCTTGTGGGTTTGACACCTTGAAAACTCTAGGTAATTTATTACTATGATCTCATACACTTGTAGGAGTGATCAAGTTTTTGTCACCATTGTCGAGAAAATTACAAATTTACTAACTACTTAATTTTTAGTTCATTTTAATTTTAATTTTTAATTTTTTTTCCATTTTAGTTTTATTTATTTTTTATTTGCAAGAAAAATATATCTCAGAGAAGAAGAAAGATGGGTGACAAAGCTATTCCAAAACCACCCATCATATTTAGAGATATTCAATGCCCATTCATCATATCTAATTTGTCATGCATCCAACTGAGTTCTAGAGTTCATAATTGTGAATTCAAAAGTATACACTTTAATGCACTACCTAATTTCAATGGGCATCAAACTAAAGATGTCTTGGACTTTATACAAGAATCGTATGTGGTAATTGATACACTACCATTAAATAATCTATCAGATGATGATTTAAAGTTGCATTGTTTCCCTTATTGTTTAAAGGGAGAAGCTCGTCAATGGCTTTTACGCTTACCAAAAGCTTCCATAAGCTCTTGGATGGAGATGTATGAGCAATTTATATTAAAATATTATTCTCCTCAAAAGACTTCAAAATTAAAGAACAAAATCCACTTCTTCACATAGCAAAATGGTGAATTATTCCATGAGGCCTGGGAACATTAAAATATCCTCATAAACCAATGTCCCCATCACCAATTTCAACATATACTCTTGATGGATTTTTTTTATAACAGACTTAATTTTGAATGCCAATCAAAAGTTGATAATGCAGCTCAAGGTGATCAAGCAATAAGACTACTATAGAAAGGGAGGAGTTTATAAAATGCTAATAGTAAATTCAAGGCAGAAGGCAGTTTGAGGAATGAGGGTGATGGCTAATGAAGTTTCTACATCAAATGTCTCATATAAACTTTAAGATTTAACAAAGAGTTTAAATTCATTATTGAAAAATTTTAGTTATGTTAATTCCCTTTCTTCTTCTACTAATAATTCTCTTCATACATATATTATGATCGTGACTATGTGGAAGAGGCTAATTATATAGGAGTTGGTACTGGTCGAGTTAATCCTTGGAATGACCCATACTTCAACACATGCAACCCTAGATGGAGAAATCATCCAAATTTCTCTTGAAAGAATTCCTCAACTCAGGGGCCATAAGCAGAGTTAGGCTTCCAACAACAAAGAAACACAATTGAGGATTGTACAACAAAGTTGGAGGAATCTTGGCTCAAATGGAAACTTATCAAGTGACTAGTATAAAGAGCATTAATCAAGAGATAGACCAACTTAAACAAGTAGTTGCTTCAACTCAAGCTTCTATAAAGAATATGGAATCTCAATGGGTAATTTTTTGAGGAATGTGGAGACTCAAATAAGCAATTTGGCTAGCTTAATTATCGAAAAGAGTCAATAAACTTCCAAGCGATACTAAAGTCAATCCATGAGAACAAGTGATGACAGTCACCTTACAGAATGATAAAGAGCTCTAAGAGGTCAATAGTAGGGCTAAAAAGATATTCAAATTGGTGAGCAAATAGAAAAATGATGAAGATGATGAGGTAATTGAGGTACTTAGAGTTAATAATGCAACTCAAAGTGGCCATTCTCCTTATAAAGCCAAACCTTATATAACTCCCCATTCCATATTCTGAACGCCTTCAAAAAAAAAAAAAGATCCACATTTAGGCTTCCAAAAATTCCTTGAGATGTTCAAAAAATTCAAATTAATATTTTCTTTATAGAGGCATTGGCAAAGATACCTGCTTATGCCAAATACATCAAGGAGATGGTTTCAAATAAGAATAAGTTGAAAGAATATGCCACCGTGACACATATAGAGGAGTGTAGTGTAATTCTTAAAAAAAAAAAAAAAAGCTACCAACTAAATTGAAAGATCTAGAGAGTTTCATTATTTCTTGTGATATTGGTTCTAATATTATTGAAAATTTTTTCTGTGATTAAGGGGGTAGTGTTAACTTAATGTCTTATTCTTTATGCAAGAAACTTAGGATAACATATTTCAAGCCGATCAATGTAACTCTTCAACTCATAAATAAATCACTCAGATATCCTCATGGTGTAGTTGAGGATGTCATAGTAAAATTTGATAAACTTCATATCCCTGTAGATTTTATTATTCTAGATATTAAGGATAATTAGAATGTTTCACTTATATTGGGAAGACCATTTTTAGCCACTGGGGGGTGTCTTAATTAATGTGCCTAAGGGAGAATTAACATTTAAAGTAGATGAATTGGAGTAAGTCATTACAATTAGAGCACATTAATAACTTAATATCGTAAATTTTTAATCTCTTTAAGTTAGATGAATTGGAGTAAATTAAGTGTGAATTTTGTTGGATTATTGAGAATTAGACTAATTGATTTAACCATTGAGGCTTTGAGGCATTTAGAGAAGAATGAGGAAGGATTAGAAGTGAAAATGAGGGCAAAAATTGGTTTCTGCCTATGTTTGGTCGCAGACACAGCTAATTGCGTTGTGTCCATCCACGAATGCTGACAGAAGGGTGGGGACAATTTAAGTGAATAATTATGTCTTGCGCTAGACATAAATAAAGGGTGCACATTGGATACCGGATGTAATAACCGCCCTAATAACCCAAACACCTAACACTCTATTATGATCATAGTAGAAATGATTAAACTCATTTACATAACATTAATTAACATAGTAGATAATAATTAAACTAAATCATTGGAAAGTTATTATATGATTAAAAGAAACAAAATAATAAATTTATAATTTCAAAGCAACACTACCATAAGAGAAAAGTATTTACTTTCATAGATAGGATTTAAACTCTATAAAAGTTCAAAAACCAATAGTAATCCTTCTATGGTAGGAAAAAAAAAAAAACTCAATTGAGATACTATCATAGTACAAAGGATTTTCCTAAATATATTTAACTAACAAAACTAATCATGATAGAAAAGAAATGACCCACTTTAAGATCCATCGTGGTTAAATGAACAAAATTGTACAATCAATAACTTCCATGCAAGGAAGATGGGCCTTGGGACGCATTCGAAGCTCACAAACATATTAATCCATCCTAAAGCCCATCAACACATTCCCAACCTCAACTCATGCCCAACAACATCCATTAACAGAAGTTCATAATAATAATCCATACACAAGGTCAATCCATAAATAATTCGAAATAAGTTTCTAGGCCTCTGGCCATCTGTAATAGCACTGTTCTTATAGTGCATAATTAAACAAATCATGCGGTTGACGATCCCTTACACATAACATATAAATCAAGAATGTTCTCAAAGTGGGATGAGTCCTAAATGGCAATATACAAATTTTGAAAACACATGTGATAACCAAGAGGCATTACAATTGAATTATCACAATGCCTTCAAAGCCTTGGAAAATATAATACCCATTAAAAAATTATTCCTACCACTATTGTAGGAAGGACTTTTAACAATGATTATTTTTTAATTTTTAAGTCGGTTATTAAGGAGAAGTAAAAAAAAAGTGAAAAATTGTCTTTCCATGTCAATTATTTCACTGACATGAAAAGGAGTTTTCCATGTTGGTTATACAGAAAACCAGTGTAGAAAGTCCATAAAAAATTAATTGAATATTTTTTTAAAAAAATGAATTTTTAACAGGGGTTATTTGAAAAACCATTGTGAAAAACTCTTTACAACAGCTATCTACAAATAACTATTGTGAAAAGTGACTTTTCACGATGATTATTTTCAAATAACCATTGTAAAAGCTTATTAACAACGGTTTTCCAAATAACTATTGTTAAAAGTTCATTTTTAAAAAAAATTAGTTTTTTTTTTGTATATCTAGAACTTAAAACTTGTAAATTGTATAGATTATAATGTAAGTATAAATAGCTAGCCAATAGAATCACAATGACTATAACTAGTTACAACTACACTATATATTTGTTCAACTACTAAAAAACTATAAAATTTTGTTCATCCTCTTTACTTTTGAAAAGTGATTCTTGAAAAAGTTGTTGAGCCAAAATATCTCGAATTCCATCAATCTATTCTTCATTATAGGACTTTGTATAGTAAAAAATCTAAATAATAAAATTAATTAAAATAATACTTTAATGAAATAAATGCAAGAATTTAAACTAAAATAACAAAACCAAATACCTCTTATAATCTTTCAGTACTTCTAACTTAAATTATCTCATACATGTAATGGATATATAACATAATATCCAAATTCTATACTTCCTAGGTACCTACAGCACTGAAATAAATGAAAATTTAAAATCAAACAAAAATGTGTGAGGTATAATTAAATATAAAAGTTAAAGGTTCATACTTACGTTTGGGTAAACCCATTCCACAAATGATTTTTGCTTGCATTCTCTAAACGTAAATATATAATGTTTCAAGAGCACTATTGTCAATTGTAAATGAGAAAAATATTACAATAGTATAAATATCTCTAGTAGTAAAGTTTTATATAAATAAAAACTTGTTGAAAATCCATGTCAACTCCTTACTTGGTGTTCCGCCCAAAAAACCAGTATACTATACTTTGATTAAAGAAAAGAACCCAAAGTGACCAATGGTACCCACAACATATAAAAAATTTAATGGGTTATGGAAAATACAAATATATATACATGCATACACATGTATGAATAAGAAAGTACTTGCTTATTAATAACTGGCATTAAATAACATGGCATTTTCATATGTAACATATAATTTATCACATATATCATCCTTCTATGTACTACATTGTGAGATTTTTGCATAGTTTCCTAACACAAAAATCCAAATGTGTTTTGTTTTCTCATTGCACAACAAACATTATAGAGGTACCTATCATTGGAATGAGAACAAAATGTTAGTGGTATGAAAATAAAATGAAATAAATGAAGAAAGTAGATAGAAAAGTTAAATTTAACCCATGATATGTCTAACTAAATTTAGAAACTCCTTAAGATCTCTCTTGTTGAATCCTAAATTATATCTTTTTTTCATAGCCACAACCTCTAATGGCATTTTAATAGTAATGGCTTCTTTCATATCTTTATAAATTTCATGCAGATGTGTTAGGCAGGAAAATTAATAGCATTTTTAGGTTCCTATTAACACAAAAAATGAAAGAATTATATAATTAAGTAATTAATTAACTCAAACAAAATAACATAATGTCAAGTAATTCTTTACCTATGGCAAAGTTACATCAATTTCTGACACAAGGTTCTACCATCATTATCACCTAGTACGAGGGGATCAAGGTTAACTAGTATTAGTGCTATTATTCCTAGTAGATTATTGCTACCTTTCGTGCTTGGCATCACAAGGGATGTTTGGATGAAATACATATATATGTTAAGTTAAATTAAACACAAATCTATGTTAAATTAAATTAATTACTTTAAACTTGGGGTGTACGATCAACTCCCATAATTGTCATGCTAATAACCATAGATTTCATCTCTTTATGAAGCTGTGCCATTATGATGTCTAGATATGATTCACAAAATTGCCACTTAACCTCAAATCTCTTGTCGAGCCTGTTCTTGAACCTTAGCTCAAGTATCATCCCTAACTTTGGCCACTAATTGATGGATCTCATCCCTAGACATACCTCCAAGTTAGCTTCATGGAGTTGGTCCAAAGTACTGCTTGAGACCTACTCCTTTATTGACCCCTCTAACTCAACTAGGATGTTT